TTTTGTTCATTTTCTTGATTTCTTGAAGGCCATTCGGATGGGTCCGGTGAGGATGACCTGTCAACGTTGGGCAGCAGTGGTGATCGGGCCGGGCTCCGGCAGTTCTTTGATGAAAGAGGGCCCAATTCGATTGGGCCTTTGCAACATGAATCTGAGAACTATGCCTCTACCTCAGCTAATACATTGTGGAGCAATTCTTCAAGGTACTTCCATAAATTAAAATAAAAATAAATAAATAAAATACACACAGATAGACACACGTGTGTGTGTGTGGGCGTGTTTTGTATGGTAATAATGATCACATGAAATTGATTAAATTAATGTTAATGAAAGGATTCTACTTGTTAAATTTCCTTTTTTGCATGGTACCTCAAAGTCAGACCTGTAAGCTCACGTCCACATTTTCATACTTTTAATTTTTTTCTTTTGTGAAGAATATATATAAAAGGGCTCGTGTGGCAGCTTTTGCTTTTGTTATATACTCCATTTCTTTTCTGATTTTACTTTATTGTTTTCATGGTTAAATCTTTTGATTTGGGGGGATTTTTCACCTGAGAGATTATTGGCTAATGGGCTACCATAAAAAGTTAATGTAACACAATTCAAAAAAGCCAGATTAAGATAAAGAAAAATAAAAAAATAAAAAAAAAGCAACTAATGCCTCTATATACTTTATCTTTTCTTCTGCTTTGGAATATATTTGTTTACCTTTAATGTTGGTCATAAAGTTTTTTTTAATTCTTTAAACCTCTTGTTCTTATTCTCACAAGGAATTGTATCACACGTAGGACCAAAAATTGCGCAGTATCTTGACTTTGAGTGTTCGCTCTATCTGTGTGTGTCTTTCTCTAGCTACTTTTTTTTATTTATTTTTGCATTTAAATACTATAATTCTTAATGCTATGAAATAATATAATATATCTTATAGGACAGTACTGTCTTGGAACCTACTTCTTTGTCATTTTCTTGGTCCAAGACTCGAAAATCAAACCTCGTTCACCATGATAATTTGCAGAATTTGACTTTTTTGCTTTACAACAAGAGTTCATCTAGAGTAGAGTTCCATTTTAGATTGAGATTTTCTTATTCCAAATAGAGATTTAGTATGAATCACACGTGTGTTTAAAGTGATTGGCAATAGTAAGTGCTATTAGGATATAGGGCATACACTTTTTCAATAAATGTATATATTTTAAATTAAAATATCACATTTCAACAAAAATATAAATAAAAATATGGAAGGATAAGACTACAGTCCCGTTATGAAATCATTCCGTTGTGATTTGTAACCGTTAGATGAACATCTATATTAGTGTAGGAGGTACATCTAACGGTTACAAATCTCAACGGGTTCCGTAATAGGATTGCAGCATTTTCCAAAAATATGATGTTTCATAGTTTAAGTACGCGTTCTAGGTAAAATTGTTTGCTGAGATGACGCATCTAATGATTAGGTCGACTCATACAAAGACTTGTGGATCAATAATTGATGTTTACATCAATATTGAAGCTCTTTACCCAACATAGTATAACATTAAGTGAATAAATTAGTGAAAAGTGAACTCATATGTTAAGGAACCATAAATTAATTCATAACAACTTGTTGAATCAACTTATAATATATATAAGTAAATTATAAATAAGTAGATTATTCTTGTTGAATAGGATGAGCTTTCAAAAAATGTTTGATCTTATAATGGAAGATGAAAAAGTCTATTAAGATTTTTGCTTCAGTTAACTTATAATTTTATCAAATAATTCTATTATATTAGATGGTGCTTCAACCATAGATATCACCTCTGAAAATCAACTTATGACTGTCATTTTCATGCGGAAAATGTTCCTATAGTGATGGTACCGTGTGTTTAATTGAGATTTGAGATTCTGTAAACTGTTGACTTTTACAAAACAAACTTCATATGTTCGTGTTTCATATATCTGTGATTTAGTATTAATTTATACGCACGGTAAACTAGCTGTTGTGTAATGGTTTCAGTATAATATTATGGAGGAAGATATTATATTCAAAAAATGAAAAGAAATGTCTAACTTTAGTCTTACGAATTAATTAAAAAAAGTTAAAAGTGTAACAAACTATTGTTGCGTATAACAAATTTAGTAAAAATCCTGAAATTTATATACCATGTAAATAATTATAATGGTTTGGGGATCTTGACTTTTTGATATACCATTTTTTCGCACTTACATATGTACGCACATAATTTAATAACAGCAATATAATTTTTTTTCAAATTGAATATTTTATTTGTAGTAGCAGAGAGAGTTGGCTACAAAGCAATGGTGGTGAATCACATAACCTGATTGGATCGTTGTCCTTCCCGTGATAATATTTTAGTTCTGCACATCTCATGAGGTAAAATATTCTTCAATTAGCTCCAATTTCATTTAACTGAAAAATAAAAATTAACATGTTTATGGAATGATGATCATACATCATGGTACACAAGATAACATTGAAGAGAACATATCCTAAAAAATATATAGGCACATATTATCTCTCTATTGATTTAGAAAATCCATTAGGAATAATAAAAAAAAAATAAAAAAAAAAAAATATCTAAATTAAAATAAAAAAAAAAAAATAAGGATGTTGTTAAGCAGGCCTAACCATTGCAGTATATTTTTACAATAAATACATATAACTGCCAACTGAAACATCATACTAATAAATAAAATTGTGACATTCTCATTACATAAATTTATATTTTATTAAAAAAAATATATATATAACGATTTGACTCGTCTAAAAATTAGATTGCCGCACAAGAATTTGTGAAAAATAATATCACGGTTTCGGTTTTCAGGCGTGACTCATATTATTAACTGAAAAATATTGTTGGACATTACTTTAGGTCGGGCAGCTATAGTTATCAACTGTATTAATTAGTTTTATTTATTGTGTCGTTAGGACAAAAGTGGATTTTTTAACTGGAACGCGGAATTGCGGGAGAACAACTGGGAAAAGCTACTTAACGACAAGTGTGATGAATGCTCGGGCTTTGGATTTTTTGGCCGGGATTCCAAAGAACTTTCACTCATGACTTAGCTAATATATAATCATTATCTCCATTTTGGAATAATGGATTATTATTTTGTTTAAATTCTTGCTTTTGTTCCTGAAAAATCCTGATTTTGTGACGAAATTGAAGGCACGAATATATATTTTGCTTTGAGAGATACCGTCCATCGGTCAAGAAGGCGAACCAGCTCTAGCTTATTGGATATATAATGCTTTTCGCTAATCTATGAACTTTTTTTCTTCAGTTTTATTCTTCTTTTATATATGTTGTTTTTATTTTTGTTTTTCCTTCCGTATTATGCTTTTCGTCAAGTTTGTCTCCCGAAAGCTGGTAGGTAATAGTGCTGCAAAAATATCCCTCGAGTCGCCAATTGTTGACCAGGTCACAGCTCATCCACTATCGCACGGTCACCCACGCGTCGTCAATTGCAGATTTTTCCTTGGAACTTCGTCCGCCATGGATTTAAGCACAGTTTTTTTATCAAAGCCCCACGATGGGGCACCAAATGGTATCGAAAAGACCTCCGATCGGCTAGAACGAGCTAAAAAGCCTGGATCTCGAGTCGGTTGCCTGTTGAACATCCTCGAACCTGCAGAACTCCCACACTGGAGAAGGTCTCCAGTGAAAAGCCTTCGATTCTTAAATGAGTAAATTTAGAACATGAAGTGCAGAGAGAAGGGGTTTTCCCTATAGTATAATAATGAATGTAATGTGTTTTTAGACATACCTCACTCCCTTTTATAGGGAGAAAATACCTTAGGGCCCAAGTCGGGCGCGTGAGCTCCCTGATAGCAAGCGCGTGAGCTACCTCGGTTGTCAGAACACAGTCATTCGGGCTGTCAGAGACGGTTATGAGGCCTAGATCACTCAGGTGGTGCCACGTGGTCTTACCAATTTGAAGGGTGCAATTCTCCTAAGATTCCTTCTTATCTCTAAGCTCTCTTCATTAGGTGACCTGAGGTAAACCCGACTCCAATTACCTCGAGCTGGGATGTCGTCGATAGTGAATGTCATTGTCATGTCCATCTAGTCGATCATTCAACCAGGTGCCTAATTTCCACGTCCTTCGACCTCTTGGCCTTCAGTGCTTTCTTCGACCAGCAGATCTTTCGACCTGGGCTATCCCCTCGTTTCTTTCTGACCCACTGACTTGGCTGGTTTAGTTTGGTTGCCTCTCCGGTCTAGTCGACCTGTTGTGCTTGTCCCATATCATCATATAAATTAAAAAAAATATAATATAATATGGTCGTGTAAGTAACAGTGTCATTTTAAATATAAATGTAATATATTTTTTCAAATAATTATTTAAAAACTAAATATTTTTTGTTGTTATTATTATTTAATTGTAAAAATAATTTTCTTACCCGTGTAGTACATGAGTATCGTACTAGTAAGATATTTATTTAGCAATAAGATATTTACCTAGTCTGTTCCCTAAACTATTGAAAAAATGATCATAGCAAGACGATGGAATTTTCTAGTGTGAACATTTGTTGTGGTATCCCTTACTATATAATTTTTGAATGTGCTAAGTGTAATTAACATGCTCGCATGCAGCGAGATCTTATGTGATAATTTTTTATGCTTTGTCATTTGACTTGGATGGATTTTAATATAATTACTTTCAACAAAAAAAGTAACTAGGTCTGAAATATTCGTAAATATAATGAAAATTTATGATCCTTTTTAAGACCATTAGTTATGTTTTAATATCATTTTCTTATTATAAACGTGGTTTACAAGAAGTAATTTTTTTCTCATTTTTTCTTTTTCCCTCATACTTCTTTCAAAGTTAAATAAAAAAAATATTACTAAATTTCAATTTGACATCTATATTGAATATACAAAATTATTTATCAATATTAATTAAAATTTATTTAAATTAATTTAAATAAAAATAAACTCTTTTCCAAAATATGTTGCTGCTAAATTTAATTTTTCACAACGAAAAAATAAAATTCGTTCTCTCAGCAGTTTCGTGAAGAAGTTTATAAAATGCTTCACCACATTTGGTAATGTTCGAAATGAGTCTTCTCGGCATAATATGCGATGTGGAAAATTGGCAATTGGATTAGGCCCAATTACAATGGCAGTAGTCGAATATTTCCTCGGCCTAAAATTCTTTAACCCGAATCTCGTTGTTCTTATCACGTCCTCAATTCTTGAATTAATATTTTTTTTATACTGTCCATTTTTTAACTAGTCAATCTAAATTAAAACAACTGTAAAGTAATTTGATAATCAAGGGATAAGGTCTCAGACATAGTTTAAATTACTGAATTGAAATTAAAAAATGAAATCTGAAATACTTGATTCACAAACTTATTACATCAATAAAAGTATTAAGAGATTCATTATTTTCGTATTATACACTTACTAGTACGACATCCGTGTACTATGCGGGTGCATGAAAAAATAATTTAACAAAAAATAAAAGAATTTAGTATTGTAATATATACAAAATTAATAAATAGAAGAAATCTCGTTAGAATATAGTGTTAAAATTATGTTACGAATTCAATTCAAGATTTTGGAGTGTGAAGAAATTCGTTACCCTATATTCGCCAAAAATTTGAAAACATTGTTAACTCAATTATCAAATAAAAGAATATAAAAAAATAATGTAGATATGGTGTTAGTTAACTCAATTATCAAATAAAATAATATAAAAATTAATTACTAAAATAAAATATTATTAACTCAATTAAAAAAAGAAACATTGTCAACTGGCATTGATCCCCTGTCAAATAAAAGTTTCATTGTTAACTGAATTATTAAATTCAAGTGATCTTTAAAATAGAAAAATGAAATAAGGAAAAAAAGATTTGTGTGATCTTCGAATTCAAAACAAATTTGGTAATGAAAGAGAAATTGATTATGTATGTAATAAGGAAAAAGATTTGTGTGATCTTCGAATATTGTGACATGTAGGATTTCAAAGTGTGCGATCTTTCTACTTAGGCTTAGCACATTTTGAATTAATATATAAGAGGATTTGTAATTAATTTTTTATTATTATCCAAAGTAAAAGTTATATAGGAGTGCCTAAATCAGGTTCTAAGCTCAAGACAATCCATATTTTAATTATTGTCCAGTTTACATATATCATTAACGGGCCTGGCCCATTATAATGGCCCTCTATCTTCATTATGAACCATTTTTATCGTTGATTTCCGCACCCAGTAAATAACAAATTTTTATCACAACAACGTAAACAAAAGTGAAAAGAAAACAACAAAACTTTCCATTTTCAATCTAAAAAATAAAAATGATACATGCGTGCAACATTAACATAAATTGTAAATCTTCCAAGTATCAAATGCCTAACTATTGCGAGAAAACGATTAAAATCATCTCCAAATGTTGCCTTTTTCTTTTCCTTTTTATTTAATTTATTATTTCTTTTCAATGCAATTAAGGTAGACAACTAGCACTAGTCTAATATAATATAGGTAAACGATTTACTAAAACACTAATTGTTCCTGTTATATATTTTTTTATAATATGTATATAAATTGATGTGAAATAAACTGGGCCGATTTGGTTTTGTTGACCTGCAGCAACTTGCCAGATACGCCCGAGTCAGTAGCAGATTTTTAGGTCACGTTCATTTATTAATTTTTGTGTACACATAAATATATGAAGACTTGGAAAATTGCAGTCTGATGAAAATATCGTGTTGGACACGTGGGTTTTGAGCCACGTAATATATGTCGGTGTTGTTTAGTTCACGGAATGTCCGAGTTTGAGCCACGTAATGTACTGGTAATGAAATTAGTGTGTCGATTTAAATTATAATTAGTTGATTTCGTTTTCATAAAGTGGAATGGAGTTTTAAATAATAAATTAAAAGAAATAAATTACGAAAACAATTTCCACCAGAATGAACGTCGGTGTTCAAATGCAAGAAAGTATGCATTTCTGTAGTGTCAATTCCGAAAATTCAATTGTATCTTCATTTCCTTGGAAGTATTGTTGGATAATAACGAATTTCATATAGTTCATAATTTTTTTGAATGGTAAATAATATTAATTAAACTAATAAAAAGCACAATCGGTAACCAACTGGTTACAAGATCATCTTATCTGTCACTTGACAAAAAGAAACAAACTGTTGGGGTAGAACAACAAGCCCAGCGGACAAAAATACCCCTCCAACAAATATGGCAAGCACTACTCCAAACGAGAATAAGCCAACACAAATAAATAAAAGACGAGAAAGAAAAGAACACAAAAATTGATAGCAGAGTTCGGCAAATATTGCCTACATATCCGGGCACTGCCAACCGCAACGCCAAATTTACTAAATTCACCAACAAAATACAACTAGGTTTAGACAACCCACAAATTAAGATTTCCTTAATTAAGGGTTTCCTTATAAAAGATGAGAGAATAGAATAAGGTGCAATTGTAAACCAAAGGCAATATACATATTTATACTAATAAGATCCTACACATCTTTGGTATACATCCAATGTGAGACAAAACTTAATCAAAAATAACACAAACCACGGGGGAATCTTAACATAAGAACTCTCACTAACCAGAAATCGTACAAAACACCCAAACAAGTTGGACAAAAAATTTCATAAAAAAAAATTGAATTACTCCATAGAAGAGACTAATGAACTTCACCAAGAGAGACTAAAAATCAAACAAACTACGAACGAAAAAGAGGAAACAACAAACTAGCTAATGAAACCAAAATAGCTATAGGCTAAACTAAAGCCTCTCTCACAACCTCAAACTCGACTCCCTACACCAAAAATCACCAACTCAAGACGACCACACGAAGAGCAAAGCCAAGATGAGACTCAAATTTGGGCACTACAAACTCCATAAAGCTACGGCTACGGCAATGGCTACTCAGATCTGAAGCCAACAAGTTGGATCCACTCTTAAAATAAATAATAATATATATTTTTTTGTAAAAAAAATATTTAAATTTTAAAACATTTTTCTCGTTAATTTTAAAATCTAAGAATAATTTATTTAACAAGTGCCGGTGTATACACGAGTGTTATATTATGTAATTAACTATTCATCCTTGCACTTACCTTTAACTACCAACTTAATGTGATGACCCACTTAATATAAATGTTATGTATATCTCTATGTACAATATTATGTACTTGTAGCATAGGAAATGCTCCCCTACCCACGGTGAGTACAGGTTAATATTCTCACCTCTTATGTGGCATGCACACATTGGTGATGTCAATATATTAAAAAAAATACATCACCAATGTGTGCATACCACATAAGCGGTGAGCATATTAACATGTGTCACTGTGGGTAGGGGAGCATTTCCGCTTGTAGCATTTCTCTTATTTCTAATCACATCTCTCATACCTTTATCAAAATTTTAATTATTTTATTTTAAATATTATTTAACACAAACTAAAAAATCCCACAAAAACCTAACCCAACCACTTTTTGTTTTCAAAATTAACTCGATTAAAAAAAGCAATCAAAACTTAATAAATCTTTATCAGTCCTAACTCCTAAGTCTAGCGAGCTGATTTGAATCAGGCTAACAAGCTGGATAATTTCAACTCTAATGATGTCATAATAGCCATGCGTAATAGTTACATAGTTACAAATTTTTTTTCCAATATTTTTAAGAACTCTTTGAACTAACTAGGGAGGTATATATTAATAACCTTAAAATACACGTGGCGTATGCGACGTGGACCCCCCAACAAGGATTAAAAATATTGTGCGGCGACTTCAACGCCATCTCACAAGAGCACAGCAACCACCTCCTTCACAACATTTAGTTTGACCAAAACTTTCCGTAAGTTTTTGCATCTCTCCACAACAATTAATTAATATTAATTAAAATCACGAGGCTTTACAATTTTAACTTAAATCAAATCCAGAAACACATTAAGCCCCCTTGTCTTTTACCTACTTTTTCAAGAAAAACCACACACACACATGACACACAACCCATCAAAAGACTTACTACCTCCTATTTTTTTTAAATATCATTTTAACTTATCAATAATGAACTAAATAAATAACGTTTTGAATTTTTTGTACATATTTTTCCATTATTATGTTCATCTAACTAATAAATACACTCCGTCTTTTCATATTCATTCTTCATCTTTTCTCAAAACATTCATCTCTATCCTCATGAATGAAGGTTATTATTGGTAAAAAAAATCTTAATTACTGTTCANCATGCACCCCACCCACACCCATTCTTTACTCTCCCTCTATATATATATCCACACCCACTACATCTTAATTCCAAAAAAATCTTTAACAACACACGATAAAAAAAAGGGAAAAAGAAAAAAAAAGCACACACAAATATGGATTTTTCAAAGCCCAAAATCCGGCCGGCGGCCGCCAGACCCAAACCCATCTCTCCCTGCAAAAAACACCCGAAACACAGGCAATCCCCCGGAGTCTGCTCCCTTTGTCTGAACGAAAAGCTCTCGAAAGTTGCCAATCACGGCCTTTCTAGAGGCTCGAAAGCTATATACTCGTGTCCTTCGTCCTCGTATGCTTCTTCACTCTCGTCTTCCAACGCGTCTTCCTACTCGTCTCCCATTGGGCGCTACGAAAAGTCGAGCGCGAGGTTTTTTGAGAATGCGCCACACGGGCAGGACTCGTTCAAGAAGAGCAGGTCGATGGCGTTCGTTTGGAGGAGAAGTAAAGACGGAGAAATTCACAAGGGGTGTAAACAGACCGAGTCAAAAAGAGGGTTTTGGTCAAGATTTTTGTTGGCGAGGAGAAATATTATTAATAGTCTTCACTTTTCATTGTAATAACTCTTGTTTGTTTGTTCATCTGTATAGAGTTTTGGATGGAGCTAATATTCGGAGATAGTTCTACGTCTCAATT